GCTCTATTCTTTTCCAAAATATCCGGCCTGGGAGTTTTTTTTTGTTTTTTATTGTATACTCTTATTATGCAGGAGTAGTAGAGTATGTGAAGTACCGCGTCACACGCTCTACCCCGTACAGCGTCGCTAAATAGTCGCCACTCAAACACAACGTTCACATTATTTAAACAGCATCGATACATCCTTTTCGTCTACCATTCCCGAGCTTGGCCGGCCTGACGGAGGAATTGTGGGATTGCCTAGTACGATACGCAACGAGGAGTGGACAAGTAATAGAAAATAGAAATTAGAAATACTGAATTTATTTTTCTAGATTAGTTCTTAGTTGCAACTCGTAGCGACTAGTCAGAGATATTTGACAGGTTTTCGTTTACGTTCAAGAAAAAACTTTAATTGCATTTGCATAATAATATATTGTCGGTATTGTTAGTTTCAAGTGTTAAATTAATTTGTTTATTCTCAAAGAAAAGGTATGTATTGCGCATACATAAAAGTTATGTATATGCTTATTCTTATTTCATATTTCTAGATTCTTAACAATTAGGAAGGTGACATGGATAATTTTGTCATTCGTTTAAAAACAAAAGACACGGACTCGGTGTCGGCGTCGGGTAAGTTTAAAGATTCGATATCTGTTACATCTGATGCAGCAGCTTCAACGTCCAATTAAATCTTAAATTATCCAAAAAGCGGGGTCGTTCTTTTCAAGTAAAGTGGAAAGATAATTTTAAGTGGTTACTCTACAAAGACAAAAGCATTCTGTGAGGTATGTCAAAATGCCTACATGAATCAAAATATTACAAAGTTAGCCAAGGATTCTAAATCATCATTTGAGACATTTGTGAAGGTGGGATTTGACAATTGGAACAAGGCTATTGAGAGATTTAAATCTCACGAAAAGACCGATATGCATCGCCAAGCTTGTTATGCATTATCAGCAGCTGATCATGGAACCAACGTGTTAACAGCGCTTTCCCAGTCAAAACTTAATGAAATGAAAACAGCAAGAACTGCTCTACTTAAAATTATTAGCTCTGTAAAATTTCTTGCCATCCAAGGGCTTGTATTGCGTGGTCACACTGAAGAAGATTCAAACTTCATACAAACTACGCATGCAAGCTGAAGACTGTGCTGAGCTTAAAACTTGGTTACAGAGAAGTGGGCATAAGTGGATATCGCATGAAATTATTAATGAACTGCTGCAAATACTGGCTGACGCGATAAAGTACTTAATAAAATTAAAAAAAAACATCTTTGCTATTATAGCGGATGAGACAACTGACTTGTCTAGTAAAGAGCAGTTGTCAATTTGTTTTAGAGTTGTAAACGACGACTTTGAAATTGAAGAATATTTTTTAGGGCTATATGAAACACCATTCACCAATGCAAATACTCTGTATAAAGTAGTTAAAGACGTATTCTTGAGATGCGAACTTGATATTAATTTGTTAAGAGGTCAGTGCTACGACGGAACTGCAAATGTAAGTGGGGTGCTTATAGGCCTTCAAAAAAGAAATTTGAAGGACGAACCACGCGCTATATGTCCACTGTATGGCGCATTCTTTAAATTTAGTTGTTCAAGACGCTTTTAACGGGATAAATAAAGTTAGAGACTTTTTAGCATCTGCGAAAAATATTTTAAATTATATGAGAGATTCGGCAAAGCGGATAGAAATTTTTAATAACATTAAGACGAATACTGAAGACGCTGGATCAACATCTCTGAGACCATTTTGTCCTACAAGATGGTATCTTAGAGTTGTGTCACTAAAATCGCTCCTTGAGAACTATAAAGAAATTACTCAGTTTATGGAAAAGCAGGCTTGTACAGAAAAATCTGAGGCTGGAGCAAAAGCAAGTGGATTTTTGGATAAACTAGAATCTTTTGAATTTTTTTTCTTACTAAAAATTTTGATACATATTTTTGATCAAATTGAAGTGGTTAATTGTAACATACAAAAAGTAAATACCAATGTAGCAGAAGTTATAAAAAAATTAATTGTCTTGTCAAAATACTTGAAGAACCACGGAATAATTTTGAAATAGTATGGGAATCTGTAGCCAATGAGAAAGAAAGATATAATGTTGAGGAACCCTGTTTGCATAGAAAAAGAAAAATGCCGTTAAAACTGGGTGGCTCTGAAAGTCAGTATTTTCCCAACACCCCTAAAGATATGCACAAACCTTTATACTTTGAAATTATTGACACATGCATTAAAAGCATTAAGGTCCGTTTTGAATCAGAAAGCATAAATAGAGATAACAATGTAATCCAAAAATATTATTCAGAAGATTTTGATCTTGATAAGTTAACCTTACATAAAAAAATGTTCTTGGATGTCACAAAAGATCAGAATTTTAAATGTGTGTCAGACATAGTTATATATTTAAACAAAAATAGTCACCTCAAAGAGTTATTCTCAGAAAATAGCAAAGTTTTGAAACTATTTCTTACAATTCCGACAACGTCCTGTACTTCGGAAAGAAGTTTTTCGGGATTACGTCGTTTAAAAAACTATTTAAGAACAACGATGTCGCAGTCGAGGCTAAACAATTGTGTTATTTTAAACTTCTATAAAGAGTGTGCTAGAAACATTAATAATAATGAAGTTGCTAATATGTTCATTATTAAAAACAGCCAAAGACGCAAAACGTTTTATTTATCATTATCAAAATAAATGCGTAATATAAAATAAAATCACTTTATTATTATATTCTTTTTATAGCATAGAAGAGATGTAAGTTGACTTATTGTATATGTAATGTACAAATTTTATTTACCAGAAGCATGTATTTATTTTAATTTTATAAAAAGAAATATCTTTTTTGTTATTTTACGCCACGGTTATAAAATGAACTTTATTCTTTATTTCAAGTATTAGGTTCTTATTTTTTTATTTATATGTGTATTAAAATATTATCATTGTGTTTCTACTTTTATTTCATTGGTACTTTAGCACCGCAGCGCTGAATACCAGTGGTGGCTGCACCGAGCATATATGGTTTCCAGATGCCATACATCCCGATTTAGGTGGAAGCCACCAGCCTCCCGATTGTTGATACTGCCGCTTCAATTCTCAAAGTCCAGCAATTCAACATCTGACAATACTTTTTTTTAAAGAAAATTTTCACATCAACGCTTTAAAATGGCTTTTAAAGTGCTTTTAAAAAATTGGTGGTGACTCTAAGTGGGGTGTGGAAGGACTAGGGGGAGTTCATATTTCCCGCATAGGAGTCGGGCACCCAAAGCAATTTTTGAGTTCCAGCGCCTATGAAACTATCAAACTAATTTAATTACGAGTATTAAAACTAAAATCTTAAAAGTGGCAGTTGAGCTGAAGACAGCACATCTGCCTTCCATGCGAATAGCCCGGGTTCGAATCTGGGCCAGGAACTATTTTATTTTTCATGTTTATTTTATTTTATAAATCAGCAAAATTTATAAATAATGTTAAAATTAGTTATTTTGTCTTAATAACCTAAAATAAATTAAATTTGTAGATTTTCGTTAGTGGGTCGTAGAAAAAATGGGTGGCTCAAAATTGATCGAAAACATTTAATCGAATACATTTGATCGAATACATTTGATCGAAAATATTTGATCGAATGCATTAGGACTAAAAAACATTTTATCGAATTACAATTGGTCGAAAAGAAAAATGATCGAAAAGAACAATGATCGAAAAGAAAATTGATCGAAAGTAGATTTGATAGAAAAAACAATTGAACGAAAAAAAAAATATACATAAAATTAGAAAAAATAAAAAAAAACTCAACCAATTTACCTAACCTGTGCCACATAGAGCCATCGCTGGTTGCTTCGCAAATATACAGGAAATAAAAAAATAAACAAACTAATTTAACATGTGCGAAAGCAATTAGTTAAATTTTAATGGTTCCAGGCCCCACAGGTTAAGTTCTTTTTATTTTTTTTAGTTTTATCTTTTTTTTTTTGTAAAGCAACCCTCTACAGCCACAGACCGTACGGTTTAGGTAAATTAGATAAGTTTTTTAATTTTTTTTTTAATTTTTGTATAATTTTTTTTGCGAGGCAAACCGCAAAGGCTTTAAGGCCGCGCAGGTTAGGTAAATTAGTTTTTATAAAAAAAAAAATAATAATAATTTACCTACAATGTCCCATCGGGAGACAACGAAACCTTAGTGAAATACATATTTTGTGCGAATTAATCTTAATGCTTTATTCTTAATGAAGATTAATAATAGTTTTGCTCTGAAAATAATTTTGTGTAAATTAACAGCTATCGTTTGAGATTATCAAAAAATTTGCTCTTAGTACGTAATTTGACGATAGCTGCTGAGTTTGGTTTTCCCGATAATAGGGATTAAAGGGACGGTTGCTGGGTGGTTTGATTTTTTATATTTTACCATTTTTAATGTTGATTTTTGATATATTGTCCTTTCGATCTAATGAATTTTAGATCTAGTATCTTTTCGATAAAATCTTATTCGATAAAATATATCTTCGATCAAATGTTATTCGATCAAATGCATTTTCGATCAAATTTCCAATTCGATTAAATGTTTTTCGAACAATTTTGTGCCACCCAGAAAAAATATACTGTACAACTAGAGTGGATTGCACAAACTACTATTCCAGAAAAACATTAACAAATATTTTATATGGGTGCTTGAATGTAGAATTAAATATTAACAATTATCGTAAACGGAGAAAAAAAAAATAATAATTTAATTTTTTCTTGACCCTTTATTTATTCCTTCCTCCCCTACAAATCTCTAAAATATACACTTGCTGTAAATTGTATAAAAGAAACACTGGTCGGCATAGAAGAGTTAGACATCTTACAGTTGGAACAAAATCAAAAGATTTTAAAATTGTACTAAAAGCGTTAAAGTTTGAACTATCAAAATTAAAATCTCGAGTTAATATCAATTTTGTACTAGATTTATATACATACAATAATAGTCAATTTAACTAAAATTTAAATCTTCTAAATAAAATAAATGTTTACATTTTTTAGGAAGAAATTTATCGAGAGATTGTGTCGATCATTGGAAGCAAACAATCTCCATCCTATAGCGATTTAAGTGAACTGAAATATATGGAAAGATGTATCAAAGAAAGTCTTAGGTTATATCCAAGTGTTCCGGTAATAGGCAGGGTGACAGGGGAATATATAAAATCACAATCTGGATACACCATTCCCAAAGGATGTATTATAAATCTTAGTATATACGATATGCATAGAAATCCTGCAATCTGGGAAAATCCTGAAAAGTTTGACCCTGATCGTTTTTTGCCTGATAATATAGCTAAAAGGCACCCATTTGCTTATGTGCCGTTCAGTGCTGGAAGCAGAAATTGTATAGGTACGTATTAAACAAAGAAAAAGAAAGATAAGATAAGAATTTGTTCTGCTCATTTGCTTTCCATGGACCTTGCTAAAGGACCCCGCAGGTTTCTTATGGAAATTGGGTTTCGGTGGATTTTTTTAAATTTTTAATATGATGTAGTACATGTCATTCTCAACAAATGTTACCATTGCTCCAACCCCTAAAAATGAACAATTTGTCTGCTTGGGGGCGTTAAAATCACCCATTTTTAAAAATAGACCATTTATTTTGAAAGCCTGGAAAATATATATTTGCAAGTTTTATTTTAGATTATGCTATATAGTATTCTACTTTTTATTTTCAAAAAATCTAACCGCCCCCCACTACCCCTCAACCTCTCCCTACCCCAGTTTTCAAAATATTATCTTGGGTACTTTTAAATGCATTGCCAAATGTTTTAATAAGTTTAAATTAAGGTAATCGCGCTTTTTAAAATTATCCCCCCAACTGGGGGGGGGGGAGGCTATAACAAAAAATATCGGTGGATTTGGGTGGATTTTGGTGAATTTTTAGTATGATATAGTCTATATTGTTTTGAATAGAAATTAATTGGGTCACAAACTTCAAAAATGAACAGTTTTGCTGCTAGGAGGCTCTAAAATCACCGTTGCCTCAAAATAGACCACCTTTTTTGAAAGCCTGGGAAAATGTATTTACATATTTTATTTTAGGTTATGCTATATAGTATTATGCTTTTTATTTTAAAAATATCTAACCGCTCCCCAATACCCCCCCGACTTCCCCCTGCCCCAATTTTCAAAATATTCTTTTAGGTACTTTTAAATAAAAATAAAAATAAATTGGTTGACAAACTGTAAAAATAAACAGTTTATTTATTTCTTATAAAACTAATTCTATACTCCCTCATATTCCCCCCTTCGCCTGTTTAAAAAAGCAAAAAATGGATATAAGCTGTATAAGCTTAATTAGAAAAATCTATATTTTAATTATCATCCAATCGTTGAGGAAGGGACACAACAAAAAATAATTAGATATTCTGCTACAAAACATAACAGCCCCACTTTTATTTTAAATATCTCATTCAATTGCAATTGTATTTTCAGGGTAAAATGATCTAAAATTAGGGGTTCTCTGGTAAACATTGAGAACGTACGTTTACCAAATATTTCAATTAAATCAAATGCAACTATCAACAAACTTTTTTAGTATGATAGTAGTAGGCGGATATGGACAATATTTTTGACATTAATTGTCAAACTTATACATTGGCTTTCTGACATTAGTAATAATTGTTGTCCTTTTTTGTGTTGTGTTGTTGTACGATATATTGTGTTTTTGTATATTGTCTCTGTATATTTGTTTTTACTGGTTGATATTATTATAATGGCTTACCAAAATCGAGAAGCTAGCTACGTATGCGAAAGACTTTTTCGCCCAGCGCAACTTTCACGAATGGATGGAGAAGAAAATGTAAATAAACGCGAAATAGCAGTTATTCGGCGAAATGCTGCAAACAGACCTCCTCTTCATGTGGATAACAGACGCCTTTGCATTAATTGCAGTCGATCTATTAATCAAGAATTGATAGACGTAGAAAATAAACCGTTCTGTCTAAGACTCAACCTTTTAAGTCAAACAAATAATTCTGCTTGCTATGTTTGTGATGAAGTAAATGACATTCATAGACTTTCTGTTGAATGTAGAGTTGATGCATTTATTAGAAATATTATTTGCATTTCTGAAGATGTAAAATCATGTCAGGCACATTTGCACGATCAATCCTGTATCCTAAGGATTCTTCTTCCTGGTTTGCGTTACGTAAATAGACCTTGTGTTCTTAAAGGTACTCAAATACACATTTTTTTACAGCAAATGCGAAAAACTGTAAATACGTTTTCTGAAAACATGTGTAGTAATAAAGACTGTTGCAGTGATGAAGAGTTCCAAAAAACTTTTTCTGTGACAAAAGAACAATTTAGGGAATTGTATACATTTTGTGATCCCGTGCCTGAAGGAAATATATTAAGATATATAAGCAAAAAATATTTACTTTCTTTTTTGTGCAAGATGCATCATGGTCTATTTGATGAGTTTTTGCGGGTTATTTTTCATTATTCCACAAGACAGAATACCAGTACAATCATATCTTTAGTAAGGAGATCTTTAATGCAAAGGTTTGTCAATTATATTCTTGGTTTTAATTCAATAACAAGAGAACAGTATATACAAAATCATGTGACACATTTTGCAAATAGACTGTATAACCCTGAGCGCAATGACTTCAAAGCAATTGTATATGCTGATTCTACTTATGCGTATATTCCGAAGTGCAGTAACTTTAGAGTTTTAAGACAATGGTATAGTACACACAAAGGAAGACATATATTAAAACCAGTGATAATGGTAGCTCCAGATGGTTTTATTTTGGATATGGAAGGACCTTACTTTTCAGACAGCCGTAATAATGATGCGCAATTACTACGGAATGAATACGAAAGAGACCACGCAGGCATGCATATGATATTTTTATATTAGATAGAGGATATCGTGATGCGATTCCTTTTATGGAAAAAAATGGTTTCTTATGTATAATGCCTCCACTTTTAAGACATGGTCAGCGCCAATTTACTACTGAAGAAGCTAATGCATCCCGGTTAATAACCAAAACCAGGTGGATAGTGGAAGCTCTAAATGGACATATAAAATCCATGTTTAAGTTATTGGCTGACACTATTTCTTCACAACATGCTGTATACCTATGCGATTTTTTTCAGATAGCCGGAGCGATAATTAATAGGTAGGTGTTTGTGTCTTCGATTTTTATTTCTATTGGGGTATTATTAAATCAAAATAATTGGACCAAAATAACATAGGATAGGTGGTAATTAATTTGTTAGATAAAAACATATTTTATAGATATCATGGCCCTATTACGATGGAAGATGCCAATGAACAATTGGCTGAACACATTAACATCCAAGCACAAGAAGCAAATGTAGTTCAAGCAAGGGTCGAATTTGAAGGACTTATAAGGAGAAATACTATATGGGTCCAATTAAATCATAATCATCTGCCACATTTTCCTCGTCTTACTTTGGAATATTTGAAACGTTTGACAATAGGTAACAATAATACTATTCTGGAGTTTTATTTCTGATGTTTTTTTTTTTAATAATTCGCATAATTGATTTTAGGTGTCTATCAAGTTGGACTGTCTGCATCCTACATTCAGGACAAGTTTCAGAAAGACGATGGTAAAACTATTCATGTAGATGAGCATTTTAATGAACATGGGTTTATTAGAATGCGCATTTTGTCACGATATGCCAGGCTCTCCAAACACCAGATTTGGATTGCTTTTAACCCTAATATGGAGGATGAAGAGGAAGATGAGCCAATATTGGGTTATTACTGCACGTGCAAAACGGGAGCAAGAACTTTGGGCACTTGTGCACATGTGGAAAGTGTACTATGGTTTTTGGGCTCTGCACGCCATAAACCAAATGTCAAATACCCATGGACGACATTATTGGATGTAGTTATGGATGCCGCCAACAGACCTGCACAAATTAATATGAATCAAGCACCACCTCTTTACATTATTGACATTTAAAGTTTTGTTACTAGTTCTTTTACTTTCAAATGTTGACACCTCTGTTGTTGGTGTGACCTTTCAGACACTATGCTCAGTGGCAGTCGATTTGGTAAGGGTTTTCCGGGTTTTCCCTTACTCAACTCCAACTAGGTCGAATGACGCTATCAATCATCAGTAAGTCGCCCGGAAGCGCTACGGCAAAAAAATAATAATCGCTTTTTCCCTAATTCGCACAAGCTTTCAGTAGCTTCTAAAGGTTGATCATCCGCTGGTAGGGGGGGTGGTGAAGGGAATAGGGTTATTGTCATTATTATTAAAACTATTTATATATTTATTTAAAACTAACATTGAAATGATTTTTGGGTTCCTTAAAATAGGGGTTGGGGGTAAGAAGGGGTTATTTTTTTTATTACCATTAAAACCTTAATTTAAGTTTATGAAGCATTTAGCAATGCATTTAAAATTACTTAAGAAAATTGAGTTTGCGAAATATTTTTTCTCGACTTTAACAGTAAGTGGTGTATTCTGAGCCAAGGTTTTTTTTGTATGTGACCCCATCAGCTAATGATAAAAAAATCCACTTTTCTTTTTTTCCTTATGATTGTAACAGCAACTAAGATCCTTTGAGAATTGGGATAGGGGGAGATCGGGGGGTAGTGCGGGGCGGTTAAATATTTTTAAAATAAAAAGCACAATACTATATAACATAACCTAAAATAAAATATGTAAATACATTTTCCCAGGCTTTCAAAAATGGTGATCTATTTTGAGGCAACGGTGATTTTAGAGCCTCCTAGCAGCAAAACTGTTCATTTTTGGAGTTTGCGTCACCCAATTAATTTATATACAAAACAACATAGACTACATCATACTAAAAATTCAGCCAAATCCACCGATATTTTTTGTTATAGCCTCCCCCTCCCCAGTTGGAGGGATAATTTTAAAAAGCGCGGTTACCTTAATTTAAACTTATTAAAACATTTGGCAATATATTTAAAAGTACCCAAGATAATATTTTGAAAACTGGGGTAGGGGGAGGTTGGGGGGTAGTGGAGGGAGGTTAATTTTTTTGAAAATAAAAAGTACAATACTATATAGCATAACCTAAAATAAAACTTGCAAATATATTTTTATAGGCTTTCAAAATAAATGGTCTATTTTTAAAAATGGGTGATTTTAACGCCCCCAAGCAGACAAATTGTTCATTTTTAGGGGTTGGCGCAATGGTAACATTTGTTGAGAATGACATGGACTAGATCATATCAAAAATTTGAAAAAATCCACCCAAAACCAATTTCCATAAGAAACCTGCGGGGTCCTTTGCTGTGATACAAACTAATTTATTACTTAAATAACAAAAAGACATTTAATACCACTTTAACTGTGCTGGACAAACACTAAGACGTACACCGTACCTGGT